AACGACAGCCGCGCCACCGTCGGCGCCGACGCATCATCGGCGCCGCCGCTGCTCGTCACGCCAGCGGCTGCGGCGGGAATGGTCGGCGAGGCCCAGCTGCAGCCGGCCGCGGCCGGAGCAGGGAGCGACGCTGGGTTCGACTCCGACATGGTCATCATCCTCGCCGCGCTGCTCTGCGTCCTCGTCTGCGCCCTCGGCCTCAACTCCCTCATCCATTACTGCCTCGTGCTCGACTACGGCCGCACCACCCTCACCGTGGCTCCACCTGCACCTGCCGCCACCGCTACGGCTGCCGGTGCAGCCACTGGTACCGGGCTGAAGAAGAGGGAGCTGAGGAGGATACCCGTGGTGGTGTACGAGGCAAAGCCCGGCGCGTCGGCGACCGACTGTGCCATCTGCCTTAGCGAGTTCGACGACGGCGAGAGGGTGCGCGTGCTCCCGAGGTGCCACCACGGATTCCACGTGCAGTGCATCGATTTGTGGCTGGCCACGCACCCGTCTTGCCCGACTTGCCGGAACTCGCTCCGGATCCAGCAGGGCCTTCAAACTGGCAACGGCGACGGCGAGGCAACAACGGTGGAAGGGGAAGAGACATAGTGCCGCGCGGCGCGCGCAAAGGGTCGTTTATGGTTTGCAGTTTCTTGTATTTTCGTAGGGGCTAAAGTACAAAACACTTCACTTTGTTCTAAAAGGAAAAGGTCCAAATTACTCCTCTCAAATTTGGTCTATGTCTAGATAACCCCTGCACTAACATTTTTAGTTCAATTTACTCCCTCCAACTATTTCAATTGGTCCAATTTACACCTTGAAAAGATTTTTATTTTTGTTTCTCTATGTACAAATTGTGTTTTAATTTTAAATTTTGTGAGTGATAGAGGAAATCATATTTTGTGTTAGAAAGATACATTATGAATTTTTCATCATTATATTTTCTATGACATCGTATATAGTGTTAATTTATTATTAAATTTCCTAAGCTATCAAAATAGTGGTGAAAATTAAGATATATTTTTCTAACATAACTTATGATGTGCAAAAATAACAAATCATCCTATTAAGGGGTAAACTAGACCAACTAAAATAGTTGGAGGGTGTAAATTGAACCAAATGTTAGTTTTAAGGGGGTTATCTGGACATATACCAAACTTGGAGGGAGTAGTTTGGAGCTTTTCCTTCCTAAAATGTTTTGATATGTTTTTTCAGGTCTTATTACATATGTAAGATATAGGATTGACATTTTTTGTGAAAGAGAAAGGAGCTGGTGCAATGTGCCAACGTCTTTGTCACTTCGATTTGTTATTTGTTTGTTTCCTTGACTTTTGCAGATTTTTTTCCCGGCCATTCCTTGGCTCAGAATTCCACATTAATTGATAGCCCTTCTCTTGCCAGGATGAGCATGGACCAGTAATCTAGATTCTTTTTTTGTTTAATTTAGTAAAGATGTCCACCTCTCCCTAGGCCCTACTAGTTACAAATTGAAATTATCTAAGTTGTCAAGAAATTCTAAGTTATATCATGCCCCGGGAAAAGGTCCACCCTACACCCGATTTTCATGAGCATGTTATTATAAGAAAAATTCAGGTGTTTTAGAGGAGTTCCACGATCGTGTTGTAAAAATCAGATAAAATATTCCTTCCTCATATCCGAATTTTACTTACACCAACTGTGCTAAAAAAACTACACCAAAATAATCACCATAGCTCTACAAATCTGAGTGTAAATTCTAGCATATATTGACAGTTATTAAACCTGAGCTGTGTGGGAGACAAGATTTTCACCCGAATTTTCCCTTCTATGCATGCTTATTCCCTTCTATACATACTATTTAGTAGGAAGAAGAAAGGAAAAGAAAGAGAAAAAAACCAAGTGTGGAGGTCTTGGCTCTTCCAGTTGATGCTCTTCCTTCATTCTCAGATGGTTCCACTTTTCACTTCTCACGCAAAACTTGAAAGTTTTTAAGAAAGCACACCCATTAACACAAGCCAACAAAAAGGCCCAAGGTGATAAAATCGTAGAAAAAGTCCACTACTCTCTCCTCAGACCACAACTACCTCAACAATAACCTTTGCCAAGGTATAATGGAAATTAAATGCTATATTAGGATATCCATACGTCAAATAGCTAGCTTGCTAGCACAATAAGGATTTTGACATGTGGTTTACACGAGTGGTCTGATAGGTCGTCCACTTGCATTGTCCAGATAGAGCGATGCAGGCATGACAGTTAACACTAGTTACCATCCTAACTTTGTAATAAGAGTGCTCTCAGAATATCCTCTCTCTCCTGAGATAACAAGTGTATTTTGAATGGGAGAAATCGACGGGATGACAGCTCCGGCGCCCGCGCCCCATCCTGCCCAATCTGCCACGCCCGTTACCATTCAGCCCTTGGCTGAGCCCGTGAGATCCCATCCCCGTCACGCCCGTGTCACCCGCGGCCTCCATCTTCGCCATCGGCCCATACACTAGGGAGCCACGGCATCCGACCTTCTCCGTGTCCGCGGGCGTCGCCAAGGCATCTACCACGCCTCTCACGCCCCCGCGGAGTCCAACCTCCACCTATTGGCGACCACGCCGTCGCCACCGGAGGTCCCCTTCGCCCGCTTCCTATGGTCGTCCGTCACGGCATACTAGCAGCCGCCACACTGCTCGGGCAACAGCATGACCACTGAGGGCTTGGGCTTCCTCCATGCCTACATCCAGAACTATTTTTGCAACACCAAGATTAAACAATTGAAACATACGTCTGAACAGATGAAACATTTAGAACATACACTTGCAACATAGCCATTGCAACATCCAGATTTGCTTTTGCAACCACCCAGATGAAACAATTGCAACATATGTCTGAAATATATGAAACATTTGGAACATACACTTGCAACATATACTACGTGTGTAGCCATTGCAACAAATGCAACATCCAGATCTACTTTTGCAACACCAAAATAAAACACATGAAACATATGTTTGCAGCATACACTTTCAGCGCAACATCTCCTCGCTGCTTGGGCGAATGGAGGCTCGTAGATGTGTTGAGTTCACCGGTGGCGTGGAGCTGGGCGGCAGCGCACAGAGGTAAAGGTGGGGGCGGCGTGATGGATGACGCAGTGGGCGGGTGGGATGACCGGGGGTGCCCGGATGCCGTGGAGAACACCGAGGTGGCACGGTCGCGGTGTAGCCCAGTCGCGGCGTGGTCGTGGAGCTAGGTGCCGGCGCACAGAGGCGGGGGTGCTGCACGGCGGCGGTGAGCCGGTGATGACACAGAGGGCGGGTGGGACGGCCAGCGAGCGCCAGACGCTATGGAGAACGCCAAATAAGCGACACGGTCGCGGTGAATCCATGGAGGCAGTGGTGGCGCGGTCATGGTGGAGCGTGGACGTAGCGCTGCAGATGTGGCGGGCTGGACGAGCGGATTCGATTAGGGCATGTGGACGAGCGTATCCGAGTGTTGGGCCATAGGGCGTCACAGCCCACCAACGGGAGCGTCCGCAGGCCCGAGAAGCAGGGCGTCACATCCCACCAACGGGAGCGTCCGCAGGCCCGAGAAGCCGGCGTCCAGACGGACGAACGCCCTACAGGAAGCATTTCCGAAAATAAATATGCGTCTCATTTTTTAGGAATCAAACTATTTTAGGTTTAGTCAAATATATACTAGTAATATTTGTAATGCGTAATAAATACTATTAGATTAATAGTGGAATATATTTCCTAATAAACGTATTAGGATACAAATATTGATAATGTTTTCTATAAATCTAATCAAACATAAAAGAAAAAGTTTTGTTCCCTAAAAAAATGAGATGTGCAGTTATTTTGGGATATGGGAGGAGAGGCATGTGTAAAAATAGGAGTATCCTTTTAGAATTTTCCCCGTTCAATTTAGTAAGAGGAGGATAGCCTAAATTCTGCCTACTACTAGGTACATTTGGTCCATGGTAAAACAACAAAAAATACTATTGAATTTTGGATCCGATGATATAGCAATGGCAGATCCGCATGAATTATTGATCCACATTTGTTCCGTATGAATTATTGATCCGATGATATAGCTCGATCACACTCATCATACCTTGCATGCATTTGCAGCCAGATTAACTACCCCACCATATCTACACGTTCCACACATGGTAGATAACGACTCCATTGACAGTTTTACAGTGGAGGAATAAAAAATAATTAACACCGTACAGTCCATCACCTATGTTTGATTGCGTTTGGTTTCATAGGAATTGCCATGTATGTTTCCCATCCTTGACTCTTTGTTAAAGGGAGTTCTTGCAAAATTTGCTACCGCTTTCAACAACCATCATTGCAATAATATCTTGCTTTTACGAAATTGCAAAGACAAAATCAGAACTGAAATTCCAGTGGCATTCTTACAAACAATTGGAATTTTTAGCAAATGATCCTTATCAAAGCATTCAAAGTGATCTTTGAGCGATGTGTGTTCGCCGTGCTTTGGGTTACAACACTGTGAATAGATTTAATCATTTTTGCACACTGGGCCGAGCCGAAAAAAGTGACGGGTAGACATTACCCATTGTCCAAGGTTGGGCCTTCCTTTTCGAGACAGGCCTATTTTTGGTTGGGCTGGTCGCTTAATATTGCATAACAATTGAAGTAATAGCTTGAGACTGGGCAAAAGAAATGGTTGGGCCAGACTTGCTCATGTCTTTGTCTTGTGTTATATATAGCCTATTGCCGTACTCTTGAGAGGATAGATTAATTCTAACGTTGCTCATTTGATGCCTGAAGACTATACAGAAGAAAGTTAAAATTGCATATAGAAGCAAAGTGATGAAAAGCGTTTATTCAGAAGTGTAGAGCATCCAAGGACTTGAGATCGTTCAATTCGAAATTAAAACCAGTCTTTGCTATTATTACTCTCAAATTTGCTGCAAACGACACACGATCGAGACACACGGACATTCAAGAACTCAACGCACTGCACTTCCATCAGCCGGCCGGATCGGAAAAAAGCAGAGCAACATATCACGCTCACGCGGCGACGGCGAGCAGCGCGGCGAAACGGTCGGCGAGGCTGCGGACGGTGGTGGGAGACACGGCGTTCTCGCCGCCGAGGTACCACTTCTGGATCATGCCGGCGACGTGCTCGTTCTCCACGGTGGTCCTCGCGTCGCCCTTGCCCTCCGTGACGAAGGTGATCTCGGCGGGCCCCGGGGTGGCCGGGAAGTGGAAGGTGATGACGGAGCCCGGCTTCAAGTACTTGGACTGGAAGAACTCGGCGACCTTCTCGAGCGCCTCCTCCTCCTCGTCCTCGTAGAGGTCGGCGGCGGCGAGGCGGTCGCGGACGGAGCTCTCCAGCTGCACGCCGTACTGCGAGCCCTTGATCTCCTTGATGACCACCACGCGGAGCAGCTTCTCGACGGGGGACGAGACGAGGGCGGACCAGAAGGCGGCGTCCGCCAGCAGCTCCTCCGCCGTCTTGCCCTTCCACGCGCCGAGGTGGGACAGCAGCGCGCCGTTGGTGTGGTGGAGGTAGACCCCTATGGCGTTGTACTTGATCTGCAGGAAGTGGATCTCGATGTCCGTGATACCGTTGGCTAGGAGGGAGAGAGGCTCACCGCCGGCGCCGGCGGTGATCTCCGCCGGGAACGGGATGCCTTCAAAGGTGATCGTCTCCGTCTCCAAGCCCACTGCGCATGTAAGGTACGTACGAACGTTGCTCTTGGTCACACGATGTCTCCATACGACGAAACAAGAAATAAAATGGAAAGACGACGATGTACTTACTTTTCACGTTGGTGTGGACGACGTAAGGCAAGCAGGGATGCGAGTGAGGAACTGAGGTAGGTAGATAGAAGTAGAACGCAGCAAGGAAGAAGAAGGGTTAAGCTCCTGTGGTGACGCTGCTGCTCCGAGGAGAGGAGAGGTAGCTGGGTAGGTAAGTGCAGGGAGGAAGAGAGGGGATGAAATAAAAAGAGTGTGGGATGGAGCTACTAGTACGTGCTCGTGTGCGTTGTTGTTGTTGCAAGTTGAGCCAGTTATAGGTAGGAGGAGAGGCAGGGAAGTGAGCGAGGGAGGTGGCTAGGGGTTGGATAGGATACGACCGGAGAGAGAGACCAGACGGGACGGGCGTGGTAGGTGCATGCTGCGGCCTGCAGCCAACAACGACTGTTCAACTTGCAGCGACGACTAACCTTTTTAATTTTGATTTTTCTTCCGAACAACCAATTAAATGTCAAGCTCTCATATGTACACCCCACACGCGCATGCGTACAGGTTTGTTTCAAATACGGAGCGACTATTTATTTGACTGGAAGGTGCACGGATGGGCTCTATTTTTTTTTTTACCACACCTTCGTCCTAAAAAAAATCATGCTTCCTGTACTGCAGGCACCATGAAAATAGAGAAATTTTCAGGCGACGAAGCAGTGCCACCATAGTAGGTAGCCTTAGGGGAAGGCCGGGTACAGTCGGGTGAGCAAAGGAGGGTTTCGGAAGTAAGTATGCTCGGCGGTAGTGGCGGGAGAGGGAGAGAGACGGCGGGCGGCGGTTAGGCAATGGATCAGCGCTAGCGGCCGCGGGAAGCGTCGGACGATAGTCAGTGGGTAAGGAGAGAGCGGGTGCGTTAATGAGCAAGCAGACCAGACAAAGGAAGAAGAAGATCCCAGAGTCATCGGATTTTTCGATCCAATGGATGAAATCGTTGCCTAATCAAATGCAAATTTTCAGGCACCTCTCGTAATATTAGGTGGGTTCAAATGAAACTATCTCATGAATAACTTCATGTTACTCTGAATAAATATACTATAAAAGTATATATCATGATGAATCTAACCAGTGGTACACGAATGGGGGGAGGGGCAAATACCCCCTAAGCTTGCAATTTTATTTAAGTGAATTGATCTGATTTTTTTTAGTGCAAGACATATATACGTTCAAATTAATAATAGAATATTACAAGTATTGTTGTTTCGCTAAAGTGGAGCTGATGTGTGCATACAATTCTCATTTTTTGTTGTTGATGTTGACAATGCAAAAAAATTTATGTAGCACGATAAATATTTATTATTATTTATATAAATTTGATTAAATTTGAAAACGTTTAGCGAGGTAAGAGCGGAGAGTAGAGAACCAATGGCAAGTGATAATGGACAGATGATGACGTTACTGAGATGGAACAGGGCAACAGATCGATAAAGATTCCCTTGGTTAGTTGGTTGGTAGTATGATGGAACGGACCAACAGATTCAGGTGAAGAGAAATTATTAGACAATTCTGTATATTTGTAACTGGTACTGGTAGCAGCACCAGCACAGCAGCACTACGTATGGGGATGTTTTTTTTTGAAACGGTATGGGGATGTTTATATACATATACTAGTTACTAGTTACTGCTACACGGTTCCTCTACTTAATGAAATACGTGCCAACGCATGTTTTTGAGAGAAACAAAAGTTACTACTACACAGTGGTAAGTAGAGCAGGCAGGGACAAAAGCATGCCGTGCAGGTACCGTCAGCAGGTCCGATCCTTTGTTGAATTGAAATTGAAACGCTGGGCTGTCCTAATCACCCCAGTCCTAGTGCGTGATTGATTGTTATAAAAAACTAACGTCGTCTTCGACCCTCTTCTCTACCTGAAGCCGGCGCTCTCTAATTTTCATTTGTATTCAAAGGCGGCCGCGGAAATAAAACAAACAAATATTTGTTTCTGCCAAAAATATGATCCTTCGCAAAAAAAAATATCCTAACTAGCTAGAATATAGATAAATTAGTGTAAAACAACTGCAAAGCATGGACTGCACTTATTTTTGTTTGTATCAGTGTATGGATGGAATATGGATAACATTAGTGTATAGTATACGTGTATAAGGTATCCTCTGTATCATCCCAAGACGAGAAATCACAAGTCACGCCAAAGCGGTTGGTGTTCGACAACCCCACGGGCGTTGATGCGCCAACGGTGGGCGAAGAAGGCTACCCACCAGGCTTCGGTCCGGTGCACACGGACCCAAGTACGCCACCGGGGGACATCCACCAGACAGTTGACGATGACGCCTCCTTCAAGCGCCGCCTCGACAACTTCATTAAGGCAGTGGTGTGTAAAAGGGACTCTCCGCTGGTTCATGAGCCTCCCAAGCAGCTGCCTGCTAAGCCAGTGTTGCCGTGGCGGAGCAGGCGATTGGCGGCTCAGAACCTGTCCCGAGTACTTGCTTCTAAGTGAGGTGAGGTGCTGATCATGTAGCGTATGGGGTACGTCAAGGGTCCATCAGCGCCATCAGCGTCGGAGGTGGAGGCCTTTGACAAGCTCTTTGACGGCAACTTGACCGCGTCGGAGGCCGAGGCGATGAACGCGCTCTTCCCAGCCGTTGGAAAGGGCCCGTCCAGACAGTTGCGAAGACGTAAGGCCACCTCCTAGGTCGCACCGCTGTGTTGGTTTTGGTTGTTTCTTTTATGTAATATCGAAACAAAATGTATTTTGCTAGGATGGTCCAGCTACGGCTGTGTTAGGTCGATCTCCTTCGGCGCTCGATAGAAGCTTGTTGTATGTCTGTTTAAACTCTTCTACTTAATACAATGGTACGTAAATCTTTTGTGTATTCGAGAAAAAAATAATTAGCTAACTATAATAGCTAGCTACTGTCTCTATTCTAAACTGCAAGTTGTTCTAGGTTTTAGGTGTATAGTTTTTGCGGCGCACCTACCTGATATATACATTGTACTATATCTAGATATATAGCAAAAATGATATATCTATAAAAGTCATAACGACTTACCATTTAGACTGAAGGGAGTACTAACTACATGCTAGCTAATTATTCATGCGGATTGTTTTGATCCACGTAATAATATGATTAGTAGGTTTGTTTAGATCACTGATACTAACTTTAGCTGCTAACTGTTAGCACCAGTGGATCTAATAAACAGATTCTAAGATGGTTTATTGGCCGGCAAGACCAGACCAGGCCAGGCCACCAACTTGCAAGTTGCTAGTTGCGTCACCGGATCAAAACTCCTTGGTCTCAAGGTCGCCGGGATAACAGAATTGTCAAGGATTCCCAGGAGAAAGAGATCGTAGTCAGGGGCGGCTCCACGCATAAACAGACACGGGGAGGGAGTCGTCGAGTCAAATGGCACGAGCACACGTGGTGGAATTTCTGGACCAGGGCTTCCCGCGAGTCTATCCACACGTGGAAGAAAGTGGTAACCACCTTTCACTTGCCCGTGGACGTGGAATCGGCGACCAGGGGCCATGGACGTGGTGGCGACGGCCGCCAAAACGGCAGCGTGGCGGCTTAATAAGTCCATCGATTTAAGTTTACGATTTATCTTTCATAAATAAATTAAATGAATGGTAATTAAAATTCAAAAAGAAAAGTAACTAAAAGTACCAACCAAAAGAGCTGTCCAAATTATAACCCCCTATAGTTATTTTGTGTTCAGCTTTACCTCTTGATTTTTAGTTAGTCAAATCCAATCCACCCCTTAATAAGAATTTTCTTTTTTTCTCTCTCTATATACGAGGAATTAGCAAGGAAGTGTCAAATGTTGCCTCTATAGTGCAGTTGAAACTATCCCACATTTGTTCTTTGACTGTCACTTTGCAAGCTTTGTTTAAAATAATGTAAATATCACTTTTGAAATTCAACCACCTACTAGCTTTGCCAATTGGTTTGGTTCTTGGATACATGGATTAAGTCCTAAACTCATAAACCAAATATAGTTTGGAGCTACCGCACTTTTGTTGGGCAATATGGTTGACCGAAAATGATATAGTATTTAACAAAGGATAAATCTAATATTTTTATATAGGTAATTTTCAGCGCGACGTTTTGGATCCGCTAGTGGTCGATTCTACATAGAGAAGAGGAGCGACCACTGTTTTAGCAGGGGTATGGTGCAGAAGCTAGAAGACGTTGATTTTGGCCGTCTTTGCGAAGTTTGGATGAAACTTTAGGAATCGTGATTAGATCCTTTTCTTTGTTTGCTATGCTCGTTAGATGGGCCAAACCACGTTTTCTTAGGGTTTAGGGTGTGTATTGTGACTATCAGTTGTGTATCATCTGAGGATGGTAGAGGCTGGAACTTTGCTCTATTATCTAAAAAAATGTACAAGTTGAGGTTTAAGACTTTAAGCTCTAATAGTTTTGTAGTGTGACAGCGAACATAAATTATGTTAGAAAATACATTATGAACTTTTTGTCATTATCTTGTGTATATTTTTTATTTTAGTGTTACTTTATTATTAAATGCCTAAACTATAAAAAAACAATAGTGAAAAATGCACAGTGTATTTTTCTAGCCCAAATTATGATATTCTCTATCACCCTATAAAATTTAAACTTAAAACTCAACTTATTATACATGAAAAAAAAAAAAATGTTGCTAACTGAAAGATTGGGCCAACTGAAAAAAGACGGACAAATTGAACATCAAATCAGTTTAGCCCGAATACTATTCATATATAACTGGGAGTAAACTGGACCTTTTGTTTTCCTAAATTGTTCTAACCCATCATCACTATGAGCCCTAATACAACTTTGGGCCTCACGATGATGGGCTACAAGCGTAACGGGCTCGTCACAGGCTGGCCCAGCCCAATCCTCGATCTGCCTGCGAACACTTGTCTCTATACTCTGTTCCTCCTCTTCCAAACCTCCTTATCGCAACGCGAGCAGCAGTTGCAGGGGAGCCACGCTCGGGCTGCGGAGGACGCAGCAAGGAAGGAATGGCCGCGCTCCGCCACCTCGCCGCCGGCCCCACCTACCACCACCACGGCGTCGCGGCAGCCACCGCCTCCCTCCAGCTCCATCGCCTCCCCCTTCCCTCCCGCCCCCTCCGCTCCCGCTCCTTCACCAGTAAGTAACTCCTCTCCCCCTTCTCTCCTCGTCGGCCTCCTTTCTTCCTTCCGCTCCCAATTTCTTCTGCTACAGGTTGAGTGTGGGAGCCCAATGTCTTGCTTCAGTGCCTTTGGTGGTGGCCGGCTGATTTCTTTGCTTGCAGGGGTTTATGCAATCTCCAGCAATGACATCAGGGTCGGCACCAACGTCGAGGTCGACGGCGCGCCATGGAAAGTTCTAGGTGACAAGCATTCCCCACCCTTCGTATTTCCCTTCCTTCTTTTATCTGAAGGCTATCCCTTTACCTGCAATTGCTCAAGGATATGCAACACTGTAGTAGCATAAAGTTGTGGAGACTACTTATCAAGTCCAATGTCCATGTACCTGTCTTATCAACGATCACTGATTTAGGAGTATTTGCTTAGCTCTATTCTTGAATGAAAACAAAAGGAATTCACTGCACAAAATGTACATCATTGTTATGCAAAATACGCCAGTTAATTTCTCCTCTCCATCCAACAACAGAGTTCCTCCACGTCAAGCCAGGAAAAGGTGCTGCTTTTGTCAGGACAAAATTGCGTAACTATGTAACCGGCAACACAGTTGAGAAAACCTTCCGGGCTGGAAGTACGGTAATCACCCCTCTAACTCACATCTTCTGAATCTGACAATATTCAGCACTTGTTCTTTTTCCCTTCCCCACTCTGTGCCTGTTCTAGTAGTAAATGTTTTTTTTTCTTGCAATAAATTACTTGTACACGATGTAGCTTAGTTAGCGAAACTCTTGCTTTTCTTGTTATTTTCTCTGATGATTTATGTATGACGTATCATTGGCCTATGGTGGATTGCCTTTGCTTCACCAATATATGTTTTATGTTCACTGTATATCCCCTTTCAGTTATGCAACGACTAATAGTCACTTCTTCATTGAAACTTTCAGCTGCAGGAACCATCCCTTTCAAAGGAGACCAAGCAATTTACATACAAGGATGGCGCCCAGTTCGTGTTCATGGATCTGGTAATTAGTCAAAATTATTGTCAATGTAAACAATTATATTTTATGTTTTTTGTATTTTACCATGGTCCCACTTCAACACCCTGAGGCACCTGTTTCTTAGATCACCTTTTGTAGCATTATACTTGCTTCAAAACACAGTGCAAATTGGCAATAGGAATTGTTGAAGGAATTCAGCATCATTTGTTTTATCAAAGGCAATTTAGAGTTGTAATGTAAGAAATTTTGAATGAAGGAAAAGAACCAGAAAACTTTCAGTTTCCACCACCACCGCAATAGCCACTTCCAGTTTCCTTTTTCAGAAAATAAAAATATATTCTGTTTTTGTCTTCCCAGAAAGCTTGATATCTGGACGTAAACTAGCCACTTTCTGAATTCGTGGAGAAATTTGAACTTAGGAATTAGGATCCTGATATAGGTAAACAATTCCATGATTTTTTCTGTCTAACAATGCTCTTCTTAATTTCTCCGTCTAGACAACATTTGAAGAAAGTCGGTTAAATGAAGCAGATGTCGGTGACAAGCAAAAATGGCTGAAAGAGGGGATGGACTGCAATTTGTTGTACTGGAATGGGAAGGTATTTCCTAGTTTTGTTTTTCAGATTCTTTGCTATTCAATTCTTTAATGAATTAAAATTCTAATAATTTCCTATAAATTCAGGGCGAATAGTTTTCTTACACAGCAAATAAATACTGGACACTGATTGTGATAATTTTGTAGATCATTGATTTCGAGCTCCCAATCACTGTGAGGCTGACTGTAACTGATACTGACCCAGGGGCAAGTGATAGTGCGCAAGGTACAAAGCTCTCTTAAAATATAGTATGCTTCTGTTGTAAGTACCTGCAATTGGTTAAACATGCATGTTGCTAAACAAATTAATCACTTATACTGGGATCATACTGTTACTGTATTTTGTAGGAGGAACAAAGCCTGCAACCCTGGAAACTGGAGCTGTTGTCACTGTGCCCTCTTTTGTGAACATAGGCGATGATATTCTGGTTGATTCAAGAACTGGGCAGTATATGAATCGAGCATAGCGAATTGAAGAGGATTTCAGATTTGAGGAGAGTACTGGTTTTTTGTTTGACCATTTTAGTCCCGTTCACTTGTATGAATGCTCTGCGTCTTTGGCCCCAGGAACTTTTCATTTCCGCTGCATGTGAATCCTCACTCTGATCTCAAACTCTGATTATAACCATGTACATCTTCGGCTTCCAGATAAAAGGAAAATTGTGTTCAGAATTTTGCAGCTCATATCTCAAACTCTGATTATAATCATGTAGTAGATAGAATGTACAGACCAAAGAACATGAGTAAATAATCTGAGTTGTGATTAGCAGAATAACCGGATCAAATTTATTTATAAGAACCAGCTGACCAGGTTACCACTTACAAGGCATGTGGCCACAACAAATTGAAGAAATATCTGAAGTCAGATTAGTAGCTTACAAAATGGTACACTGGTAATTAAGGATGAAAACGGAACGGAAATATCCTGAACCGAACCGTATCGTTTTCTATATTTAATCCGATCGAATCCGCATTTTCTTGTCCGACTTTACCGTTTTCGCTTTCGCATTTGAGATGTTTCGTATTTCAAATATAAAAGTAGAAAAACGGTTTACACATTTTTTTGACCGTTTTCTACTTTTCTACTTTTAATTTGAAATATTCCGAATTCAAAATTCGATTTAAACCGAATTTGGCCAACTGCACAGGTCATACAGCCCAATTACAGGCTGCTCGCCACGCAGCTACGTTCTTTCTACTGGTGACTAGCTGCCCTCTCTTATAGACGGCGCCCAGCCTCATCTCTCTTATTATGTATTTGATCGTGCACTTGTTTAATGCTATGCACTTGAACTAGATCATGCACTTGTTAGTTGTGAACTTGTTATGTATTTGGTCGTGCACTTGTTTAATGCTATGCACTGTGGGTCGGTATTTCATATTGAATTTTCGCATACCGACCGTGTTCGACATAATTTCGCTCGAATTGGTTCGTTTCCGAAATTCTAGATATTCCGTAAGTTCATATTCGTTTTCGTGTCCGGCTTGTCCGCTTTCGCTTTCGCTTTCGTATTTTAAATGTAAAAGTAGAAAACGGTTGAGGAGTTTTTCAACCGAGTTCGACCGTTTTCATCCTTACTGGTAATGAAGCTTGGGGTACAGTGGCTGTCAAGCCTGACACATTGTCTGAAAATTGATGATGAACAAACCTTGCTGACTACGACTGCAGTCTGGAAGGTACATTAGAGTAAGGGTGTATTGATCCTGCAATAGAGAGGCTCCGGATACTCCTGATCTGGGGACCGGAAGCCACTGCAAACTGGCCCTCTCAGCTGCTCCCAGGCCAGAACAGAGGATATGGCTTTGCGAGTCTGGCTATCCATTTATACACACCAGTGTTCCCTGAGATCCCTGAGCTGCCTGATCTAGAGTTCTGGACAATATGCCGTTGTTGCCAGAATCCATTTTGGTTAGGACACAGGACTGGTAAAAAGGCAGTGCGGCTGCTGCTCAAATGCTTGTCAAATGGATTCCATTTCAGCCAGAGATTGATATGGAAGGACTACAAATGTCGTTAAGCAGTGCCCTACCACACAAGCTACAACAGGCACGTGCACAGTCATCAGACACCTCTGTAGCATATCTGGCATACAACTTGAGGCTGGGAAACAAAGTCAGCATACACTACGGGTTGGTCAGTGTGAGGGAGAGGATAACTGATTAGAACCTAAGCCAAGTGGAGAATGAGAATTATTCTCCTACCTATCTGATCTTGTTCTCTAAGCTACTTACCTATTTGTCTATCCCTCCCTCTCTGCTGCCTCTGTTCTCTGCAGATCACAACTCCAATGACCGGGAAGCCAGCACCAAACATTACAGTGAACATAATGGACAAATTAACGTGTGCTGTTGGGATTAACAGCCGCTGTTCAGCAATGAGCCAAAAATAGCCAAATTGAATTGCAGAGGTTTCCATTTTTTATGTCTGTGTTGGAATGTCATGAACCACTCATCATGTCAAGTATAGGTGGCGATGTATGTCCATAGCCTTCCACTTGAAGCAAATCTGTATTTCCAGTTTAATCTCCCAGATGGCTGTAAAATTTCTACTCAACAACCAGGCTTTAAAACTTCTACTCAACAACCCTATTTGTACTATGCAAGCTGCAGCGATACACAAGACTGATCGAGTATGCCATTCAGTCACTTGGGTATTCTTATTCCAAAAGAATGACTGCTCGTGTACTACATTTTCATTTGATTAAGTCTGCTGTCAATGTTAATCCTAGTTCTCCACAAGAAGTCTCTTCAAAGAATTTTACAAACTCAACATCATTATCGATTTAAAGTTACTTCTAGAACACATCCAACTTTTAGCAAGCATTACCAATCAATGACCAAAGGAAAGCCTGCAGCAACAGGGACTCACAAAACAAGTCCTTCATGCTGCAAATTACAGTATTATTGTTCCTTGAAGATGTATGATCCAATCCACATATTGCTGTATCAGAAAACAACTAGTCCTTCATATGCTCTTACCAAATGTGAATCATCCATCCAACTGCTTAAGCAACTGGGAACAACAGCCATAACAAAAGTAAACCAAAAAAGCTAACTGATCTATTCCACTGCTCCTAGTGTAAGGTGTTCTTCCCACTGGTTCCAGTGCGCTTAAGTATCCAGCAACAAGAGAAACAGTGCCTCGCATGTTATGCCAAGTCCAAATTTATTTCATAAACTGTGTGCATGAGCACATCCCAGCAAATGGAGTATTTTTTGTCTTGGGCAACGAAGTGTAACCAGATACAATTTGGAAGCAGATGCACAATCAAACACCAATACTAGAGTAGACTTTCAATAGAGATCCATGTTATCACCCAAACAGTTCCTGTTAGAACCATCAACCAGAGGCTGCCGCATACTCCGAATCTGTTCACTTGCGATAAAGAATGGCAGTAGTGTGGGCAGCCGTCATGAATATGGTCACTAGAGGCATGCGATCAGACACAAATAAGTTTCCAGCTGGCAAGACTGGATGTTTATCAGTTGCACTGGATAGATAGTACTGGCTGATTGAACTGAGAGATCCTGATGTTCTGCTTACTCCTGATTCTGATTGAGGAACGAAGTCAAGGCACTGCACTTGCACAGCTCCATCTTTCATAGCACCGTCCACAAATGCTACGTGCACTGGGATGCCAAGAGCCTGTGATAGAGCCCTTGTTTGTAGAATTTCGATGCCAGCGCCAAATGGACGCACATATTGTATGCAAAACTGTTACAAAGCCACAAATGCAGAATGGTAAGAGCAATTTGTAAATGGCATAGTATTGGTTAGCTTGGTTCTTCCTTATTAACCAAAAAAAGTTGCCCGCATTTCATTTCTACGGTTTGCATATTTCCATTGAGAGAAGGCTAACTTGGAAAGCAAGCACATCGTTAATGATATATAATTGTTACAGAAGCATAAAAGGAAAACAATCAATTACTTGTAATGATGGTATACTCAATAATCTGTTGTAGTCCACTTCATGTGTACGGATATGAACCTCTGTCAGCAATCTGAGCAAAGAAAGAACTAACCAAAGAAAAATGTTAAATAGAGAACAAATAAACAAACAACACATCCCAAAAAGCATCGTATCCTCACTCCTAGATGATGAAATTTCCTGTAGGCTTATCGCGTAAAGCTCATCAGAATTTAGCCTAGAAAAAAAAAAAAGAATTTTCCATAAACATAAGTGTAATGGAAAGAATTGATTACTGAATGAATTGGATCACTGAAGTAAGGAACTAAACATACCCATTTGCAACTGAATTGACCAAGTGCTCAAACTCCTGAAAGAACATAAAGACATTTGTAGTGATTAATATAATTACTTTGAAGTATAATCTCAGGAAAAGACACTCCTAAGTGATGCATAATGAGGTATTGCAGTGCCATTCTTTTTTATATAAAAAAGAAGTGCCATTTCATAAACCAAAATTTTCTTTCTTAGATGTGAAAATGCAAGAAAAATGGAAAAAAAACTGCATACCAGATAGTAAAGTGGAGTTTTTAGTGCAGAAGTATGAATGTGATATACGTGATTACTCATGAGCTCTTAAGTTGTTTTGTTCATGTACTCCATGTCATATATGTGTCTGTGCACTCCATCTTGTTATTGTTTTAAAACAAAGTTACCTCATTTCCCATGTATAGGGAATGAGAGCACATGTTTCTATAACTGCAAAATGTAAATTATACCGTACTACTGTAAATTATGCTGTACTACTGTTTTTACTGTCTCTATAGAACTGTAAGTTCTGTGCACATTACATTTTTAATATGCAGGAGAGTCAGTGTACCATTGCATTAAGAAGAGAAATTTGTATTAAAAGACACAACCTATGAAGTTACATACACCCCACTGGAACAAAAGAACAATAAAAAATGAATACCAGAAAACTAAGATGAAGTCAAAGCAAGCAGCAGAAAACCACTAGCCCCGGCCATAAAACAGAGTCTTATCCCCAGAAGTACTTAAGATTCCTTGAACAGAATACAGATACACATTACGTAATCTCTATGATTCAGGCCATGGGGCACAATAAGTATTTTGGCAACTAATAGATGTCCCGCATGATTCTTCGCAAGGAAAAAGAAGTCCTGCATGATTGTTTTGTGCATAGCCAACTGAACAAATCACTAGGAAAAAATTAGGATAAAACGATCAGGCAATACAAATTCATGCTTCTGTAAGCTGGAATAATACTTACAGAAACAACACTTGAGAAAAATGCTTCCGGATTTGAGAAGTACGCATTATTCCATTGTAAACGACAGAAATTCTCTCTGGACCTTGCCACGCATTCCATTAAGCGAGTGACCTCAGCTTGACTACATTGCATTTTCCCAAGGTTTTCCTGATTACAAGACTAGCATGTTAAGATTTTGTGCAGAAGAAGAAAGCAACAACATCATCATGAACAAGATAACTGAGATCGTTACCAAGTAAGAGAAAAGGAAAGCTCTGTAAAACTGTGACCCATCGTTTCGTATTGGTCTGAAGCACACATAATGTTCACTAAGTATCTGCACAAAGAATGATTTTCAGGTATGCCAAAGCTCTTAATAATGGCAGTGCTTCTAGAGTCAAATTTACAGTGTACAAACAAACCTTGTACTGCTGCTGGAAGGTAGGTATTCCAGCAGCTGCACCAACCAAATACGATAGTGGCCCCTATGATTGTAAAAGTTAGCATCACACTAGGCATAATAGTTAATTCATAAGATTATAAAACTTAGAGTTATCCAGATAAGTCATGCTGAGGCAATGCTTGGAGCACAAGAGTTCACTTCTTTTTACAGGAAATGCTTGAGAACCATATGTCAAAATGCCTTTGCACGTAAAGGCTAGCTAGCTATTGCTTGCAGCAAAATCATGAATCTGTAAGATCTCTGGTAGCCAACTAGCCAAGCTTTCAACATCGTTTAAAACACAATGAACTTATGGTTGACATTCGTGATACTTTTACTGTACAAACACTTATGTTTACTGCATGGCGCATTGTATCTGTTGATGGCAATATTTAAGTTACATTTTTTCCAGGACATGAAAATAAGAATTGTTTTAGGGGGAAAGACTAAATCTGTTTTTGGGGTAACAATTTTTTTAGATCATGGAACAGAAACATCCAGGACAGCGAGAGACGCTTCGGCCGTATTCTTCATGTATTTAAGAAATCATAACTCGACTATTTAAGCCAAAAGACTTAGGACACACTCAAGGAATGGGTAACTATCCATGTTGATTCTCTATGATATAAGCTAACAAAGCCCAGACATTATCTATCAGTTTCAAAATACAACAATCTTCAAACAGTTCAAAGAAAGTTTAGTGTATATCATCATCACATATTTTATTGTCATTAAAGAGCAAAGCTTATCTAGAAACACAATGGACAGGGTATGATCAGAGCATCACAGGTGTTCAATGGAGAAAATTTTACAATGGTATAAATACTTAGTGATAATTGATGATGGTACGAAATTACAGATGTCAGACCATTTCATTGAGCACCAAAAAAAAAGCAACTTCCCTATGAAGGAGAAACAATTCATGACTAAGGAATAAACAAGTAAATTCAGTTAAGTAGCTTGTGAGACTACAATATTTATACCTGACGATGTAGTGCCAACTCAGGAGGTTCTGGGGTTACAAAGACGCTGTCGTCATAATTGTCCTTGGCAACACGGTTGTTCTTTGGAGGACGGAGGTATGTCTTCTTGCCATCTAGCAGCTGTTGCCAATTGTGGTGAAGTGAAAGAAACTTCTGTCTGGTGAGCGGCTCACAATTTTGCCGGCCAATATAATGAGGGGGGTTTTGTGGATCACTCGAGTACATAGAAAGAACTTGAGGATCACTCATGAACAGAGAACCCCATCCATTTTTTGTTTGAAATTCGTTCGGCTTTTCATCATCCGAGTCCTTAGGATCCTAGTGAGTTACAATCATTAGGTAATTCATATTTTCCAAATGGAAGCAGGCAGAACCCAATGACATAATCCCAATAAATATAAATCCACCTATTTTGTTCTGGTCAACTGACGGCCACATAATCTAAAAAAAAATACTTTCCAGAAGATATGCACATCACGTCATGCTCTCTGGACATTTACACCCAAGAACGCACGAAAAAGAATCTAAGTAATGTGCTCAACATAGAGCGAGTTTTCTTTTCAGGAAATGCCAAGGGAAAAAGAAAAGCAAGCAAGCCTGCAATTGGATCAAATCCCTGAAGGAAACCCAAATTACGACACAGTCATCTAAACGGGATAAGCATTTCGCAAGAAACCCCCATTCGATGTTGCCGTGGCACACGATTCCGCGATAATTCAAGAACCGGCATTGCCTTTTTTTTATCCGTCACTTCATTCTTTTCTGTGTTCCCCCAAAATCAAGAACCCGACAATCAAATTGGGAACATGTTCAAACCAAAATTAGCCTACAACCAACCAGCCCAATTGAGGAATCCCGCTCCCTATATCAGAACGCAAGAAAGAATCCCCAAGAAATCAAGCGCAGCAACTCAAGAACATGCCAACGCACCGAACCCCAAGACACCCCGGATGAAGCTGGAACAAAGCCTAACCTCGTCATCGGAGGACGACCATGAAAGCGGCGGCGGAGAATAAGAGAGTTCCCGTCCCGCCGCGCCGGGGACCTCGTCACCGGGGGACGATGGTGAAAGCGGCGGCGGCGAATAAGAGAGTTCCTGTCCCGCCGCGCCACCGCCTCCGCCACCTGCACTGCTTCCCGCGCCGGGGTTGCACGTGAACGGTTTGGGTCGCGACGGCGAACGTGGCGGCGAAGAAGAGGGCTCCCGTCGCGGTGCGGGGGGCCGTCCTGCTGCGCTGTCGCCGTCGCCGCCTCCGCCTCCGCCACCTGCGCTTCTTCCCGCGCTGAGGTTGGACGTGAACCTGAACCGCAGTCTCTTTTTTGGAGGTAGCTTTTCTGCCATTTGGGCAAGTTTGTTTTTGCAGTTTCTCCCCTGGGTTTCTACGGAATGTTGACCCGCTACTTCTTGAGGGGTCAGAACTCAGAAGATATAGGGCGCGTTCGGCTGGTCTGAAAGTTTTAGACCAGCCGGCTGGTTTGGCTTGTTCCCCTCACGTGCTATAGTGCATCTTTCAGCCGCTACAGTATTTCTCTCTCACAAAACCAGTCGCTACAGTGTGTTTTAGCTTCTTTTTTTCGACAAGCGAACGGGGCCATAGCCCCCTGTTTATTTATAGCCACAGGGATCCAATGGGAAATTTACAAGAGGAGAGGTATTTTCTGGAAGTTTTGCGCCTATATCGTTTATGTGCTGCATAGTAATTTTTTTTTCTCTTTTCTACTCCCTTTCTTTCAAATTATAAGAGGATTTAGATTTTCTAGATTTTATTATATAGTTAGACATAGTATATATTTAAGTGTATAGACAAATTACGTATCTAAAAAGTGAAAACATCTTATAATTTGAATTGATGGAGTACTTAAAAAATGAAATTCTAAGTTCGAGCAACATCATGTAGTTCATGGAGCCCTACTTCATCCGTCCAAAAAATATCATACTCATTTTTTGAGGAGTCAATGCATATTAAGTTTGACAATATATATACAACAACGTACTAATCTTTATAATGAATAATAAGTATCAGATGAAATAGTAACCATGTTCGGAGGTACAAATGTTGATAATATTCTTTATAAACCCAGTTTATAAGCTTAAGAACCTTAACTTAGTCTAACCTAGGATGATACTCCCTACATTTCAAATTATAAAGTCGTTTTTGGTTTTTTTAGATTCATAGCTTTTGCTATGTATGTAGATGTAGGGTATATCAAGATACATAATAAAAGCTAAGAACTAAAAAGCCAAAACAACTTATAATTTGAAATAAAGGGATTTTTTTTGTTTTGAGACGAGTGAGGCACCACAATTTGACCAAGCTCTCCCAGGCCCTAATTCAAACTATTTATCTAGCAAAAAATAAGCATCTCATCTCAAATTGAAGTGCTTATATTCTATAATTTGTAGTTAGGATTTGTTTTGAGATGGATTGAGGCACCACAATTTGAACAAGCTCTCCCGGGCCCTCATTCAAACTATTTATTGTTTTGAGACGGATTGAGGCACCACAATTTGAACAAGCTCTCCCAGGCCCTCATTCAAACTATTTATCTAGCAAAAAATAAACATCTCATCTTAAATTGAAGTGCTTATTCTATAATTTGTAGTTAGGAGGAGCAAAATCCTTTGAAATGCTTCCAATATATGTTTTTTCCAAGAGATTTAACAAATGTAGGTACATTGGTCTATTCATTGGAGCCTCAGCTACATTATGGTATCATGGAACAATTTTTTCGCTTTAATAACTTTTGAGAAGAATAATTTCATATATATATATATATATACACACACACACATTGTCATGGTCATGTTCAATGCTTCCAAACTATGCCACAAGTACATCATTCCAATAGTTCCCTGAGCTATAAGAAGCGCAGCTAAATTTGATCTCAAGAATGAACTGAGTTGGGTTCCGAACAAAATGAAGATGCAAACTTATAAGCATCGTTCTCCAAACCAATTTCAGGTCGGTTATGCTCAAACGCGCCAACCATGTCAGATGCTCCCTCCAAAAGTACTTTGGCTCATTTGGAGTACTAAAGCACAAGGATTCAACAGGATATTGCTTAGCTCTACCAGAACAATGTATGATTCACCTTGTGTTTAATGTCTCACAACTAATGACCGTACATTGTACCCATTTGTACACACCAGTGTTCCCTGAGATCCCTGAGCTACAGCTGCCTGATCTGGAGTTCTGGACAATATGCCACTGTTGCCTGAATCCATTTTGGTTAGGACACAGGAGTGGTAAAAAGGCAGTGCTTCTGCTGCTGCTCAAGTGCTTGTCAAATGGACTCCATTTCAGCCAGAAATAGATATGGAACCACTACAAATGTCGTCAATCAGTGCTTTTGCCTACCACACAAGCTACAACAGGCATGTGTGCAGTCATCAAGCACGTCTGTAGCATATCCGGCATACAACTTGAGGCCAGGAAACAAAGTCAGTGTACACTGTGTGTTGGTCAGTGCGAGGGAGAGGATAACTGACGAGAACCTAAGCTAAGTGGAGAAATGGGAATTATCCTCCTACCTATCTGATCTTGTTCTCAAAGCTACCTTCCTATTTGTCTATCCCTCCCTCTCTGCTGTCTCTGTTCTCTGCAGATCACAACTCCAATGACCGGGAAGCCAGCACCAAACATTACAGTGAACATAATGGACAAATTAACTTGTGCTATTGGGGTTAACTGCCACTACTCAGCACTGAGTAAAAAAAAAGGCAAATTAAATTGCAGAGATTTCCATTTTTTATGTCTGTGTTGGAATGTCACGAACCATCCATCATGTCAAGTATAGGTTGCACTATATGTCCATAGCCTTCCACTTGAAACAAATCTGTATTTCCAGTTTAATCTCCCAGATGGCTGTAAAATTTCTACTCAACAACCAGGCTTTAAAACTTCTACTCAACAACCCTATCTGTACTATGCAAGATGCAGCAATACACAAGACTGACCGAGTACGTCATTCACAGTCACGTGGTATTCTTATCCAAAAAGAATGACCGCTCGCATACTACATTTTCATTTGATTAAGTCTGCTATCAATGTTAATCCTAGTTCTCCACAAGTGTCTTAAAAGAATTTTACAAACTCCACATCATTATTGATCTAACTTCTAGAACACATCCAACTTTTAGCAAGCATTACCAATCACTGACCAAAGGAAAGCCTGTAATAACAGGGACTCACAAAACAATTCCTTCATGCTGCAAATTACGGTATTATTGTTCCTTGAAGATGGATGATCCAAACCACATATTGATGTATCAGAAAACAACTAATCCTTCATATGCTCATACCAAATGTGAATCATCCATCCAACTGCTTAAGCAACTGGGAACAACATCCATAAGAAAAGTAAACCAAAAAATCTAACTGATCTATCCACAGCTCCTAAGGTGTTCTTCCCACTGGGACCAGTGACCTTAAGTATCCAGCAACAAGAGAAATAGTGCCTCACATATTATGCCAAGTCCAAATTTATTTCATAAACTGCGCGCATCAGCACGTCCCAGCAAATGGAGTATTTTTTGTCTTGGGCAAAGAAGTGTAACCAGATACAATTTGGAAGCAGATGCACAATTAAACACCCATACTAGAGTAGACTATCAATAGAGATCCATGTTATCACCGAAACATTTTCTGTTAGAACCAACAACCAGAGGCTGCTGCATACTCAGAATCTGTTCACTTGCGATAAAGAATTGCGGTAGCATTGGGAGTTATTAATATGGTCACTAGAGGCATGCGATCAGACGAAAATAAGTTTCCAGGTGGCAAGAATGATTGTTTATCAGTTGCACTGGATAGATAGTATCTTCTGGTTGAACTGAGAGGTCCTGATCGAGGAATGATGTCAATGAACTTTACTTGCACAGTTCCACCTATCTTGACGCCGTCCACAGCTGCTAGGTGCAAGGGGATACCAAGAGCTTGTGATAGAGCCTTCATTTGTAAAAGGGTGACATCAGCGTCAAAGGGACGCACAGATTCTTTGCAAAACTGTTACAAGGCCACAAATGCAGAATAGTGAGAGCAATTTGTAAATGGAATAGTATTGGTTAGCTTGGTTCTTCCTTATTAACCAAAAAAAGTTGCCCACATTTTCATTTATAGGGTTTGCATATTTCCATCATGAGAAGGCTAACATGGAAAGCGTGCACATCGTTAATGTTATAAAATTGTTACAGAAGCATAATTGGAAAACAATCAACTACTTGAAATGAATCAAGCATAAATTCTGAGATGATGGCATAGCAGCCAGAAACACTAACAAATAAACGATCATCAGTAGCAATCTGTGGACTCGAAAGAGAACGACGCAAACGGGGAATGGGTTTGGGGAACGGGGGTGATTTGAAATCGAGCGTACCCTTGACTGGGAGTGGAGTCAGAGACTCAAACTCCCGGTGACGTGGTTCGACGCGGTGCCAGACAACAGGACCTGTATTTGGGTGTCCAGCGGATGAAGTCGCCGCGGTCACCACCGGTTGCGCCAGGATGCCGGCGGTCATGGCCGGTGCGGCTTCGAGCACCACCCGGCTGACGGACTTGCGCAACGCCGTCATCTCTTCGCGCATCTTCTCGATCGCACCCTCCTGCTTGCGCAGGGTGCTGACCTCGGATCGGAGTTCCTCCACAGACGCATCCACGGAAGGCCGTCAATCGTCAAACACCCGGACGGCATCCTCCACGCGCCCGAACCGATCAGAGATAGAACGATCCATGGCGGAGATCCGGCTGCCCAGGGAAGTCTCCACGGCACCGACACGGCTCTCGACACAGTTCACCGCGGCCTTCACGGACTTGATCTCATCGAGCAGGAGCTGGAAGTTGGGATCCATGGCGCCCAATTGCTTGCGAAATCGAGTAAAGTATTCGTGGTCGATTTGGTGCGGCTCCAGGGTGGGAAGGGGAAATTGCGGTGGATAGAGATGGTAGGTTGAGGAATTCGTAGGCTCTGGTACCAATTTTGTT